ATAGTTTGAAGCCAACATGCAAAGCAGCTGGCAGGGAATCAAATGAGGAGATATTTCAACAGACACAGACATGCGTCATGGATCGGAAATCTCTGCAGGTTGGATCGGAAAAATCTGATACGTAAATTATGCTGGTATCAGAGCCCGATACGATACTGGATCGGATCGGCCCATCTCTAGTTAAAACGTTTCGTCTTTACCGTAATTGTCAAACTCACACTTTGTACCCCATGGTTTATATGCAGGAGTGTCTTATTTGTGCCTTATTTATGTAGTTTTTCATAATTTTCAAAATGTATATTTTATTTTTGAAAGACTTCCTGCTATCTCTTGGTAGCTTCCTACCACTGACTAACATTTTCTTTTGGCGGAGCTGGGCACTTGTGGCTCCCAGCACCCCGCCTCTCGTGGGGGCAGGTGTTTGTGACATAGAGAGAATGCCCTCAGGTAATCAGATGGACAAAGACTCACTCACAGTTTTAAATACTCAACCATAACTCCACCCACTCTGTCATCATGTGACCAGAAGTCTAACCTGAATGACCAACGAGGTACTCTCGAGGACCATCCCCCAAGATAGCCATGAATTAATTTCTTCAGATCGTTCCTGTGTTGTTATGGGATTTTGCACTTCATGCACAGACCTGTTAATTTGTTTAGCAGTAATGGAAAACGCACGGAGAATTTCTTATGACGCAGATTTCAGGTCAAAAGCGATCGTCTGTCGAGGAGGAAACACAGCTGCATGTAAGCTGCATCACCGTGTGTTGATGGTCAGGATTGGAGATACAAAGCAGTCAAGTACATGCTTTAATAAAAGTTTTAAAGTTCTTTCTGTGTGACATCTTTCTGTGTATGGTAAATATGCGTTTAAATACCGGGATCGCATTTTCAACCCACACCCGAACGCATAAAATGGAGCAGACAACTAACCCCTCCCCTTCCGTCATTAGAGGACAGAGGTGGAGAAGTGAAGTCAGATGTATTTTAAAAGCAGTCAGTCAGTCAAGACTGATACATGTTTAAATGAAAGTTTAAAAAAATCTTTCTGTGTACGGTAAATATGTGTTTAAATACCAATAGGTCATTTGGGCGCTGCAGAGAACGGAGGGGACAACAGGAGGGAGGGGCTGTTCCCCCTTCTATCCTCCTTCTCTTCATATGAGCTCTGCTGAGGAGAATCACTTCAAATTTATTTAGAAAGTACATTTAAAAACTGCAGTTGTTAACAAAAGTGTTTACCAATAAAAATCCATCCATCCATCCATTATCTTTTACCCGCTTCTTCCATTTTGGGTCACGGGGGTCGACGGTGCCCATGTCCAGCAATCACTGTGAGAGGGGCGGGTACACACTAGACAGGTCGCAAGTCCATCACAGGGACACATAGAGACAAACAACAATTCACTCTCTCACTCACATCTAGGGACAATTTAGTTACCATTCAGCCTAACATGCATGTTTTTGGTCTGTGGGAGGAAACTGGAGCACCCGGAGAAAACCCACGTATTCACGGAGAGAACATGCAAACTCCACCCAGAAAGGCCCCCAGACTGGGATTTGAACCAGGACCTGCTCGCTGAGAGGCAGCAGCTCTACCAGTTGCGCCACCATTCTCCAATAAAAATCAATGGTACTAATTTAATGATTTTTTCTTCTTCTTCTTCTTCTTCTTCTTTCAGCTGCTTCCTGCGTTAGGGGTCGCCACAGCGAACCAAGTCACACAAAGACTTGGCAGTTATTTTCATGCCGGATGTCCTTCCTGACGCAACCACAGACCAGTGTTGCCAGGTGTACGATGATTATTGTATTTGTACGACAATTTTGTCCTCTGTACAATGTACGATCAATAATCTCAAAAAAAGGCCAAATATACGATAATTTGACCATTCCGTGAATGTGTGGTTGTAATCAGTTGTCATCAGCCTCTCGCAACTGTTTGTCTGAGATTTTTTGTGAAACCTGAAGGCATCTGTGTCTGCAAACAGATGCACGATTGGCTGGAAATTCCAGCCAATCGTGCTTTTCTAAATGTTACCTACAAGTGACGTGTATGTGTTTGCCTCAGAACAACGGCCATGATTGGCTGATAGTCCGCTGCGCCCGCCCCATGAGTGAGGAAAAGAAGAATAGAAGAAGAAGCAGAGCCGGTCTGGAAGCTGACCCATCACTACTATAGTGTATCAATAGATTTGTTATTTTGGTTATGACGGGTGTACGATAATGTCCCTCAAAATATGATAATTTTATGTCTCTAGTATGATAATCCTACATTTCTCACCTGGCAACACTGCCACAAACCACCGAGCTACCACATCCCTCTGTGTGGAGCATAGAGCTGCTATCTAGGACACCTGGAGGAGCAGATGGTGGGGGTTAAGGGCTTTGCTCAAGGGCCCAGGGGACGAATGAGGGTTGAGGCAGGTGTGGGTGCTTCACCTACCCCACCCACATTTTTGATGTTGTCGGAGCCGGGGCTTGACCTGGCGATCTTCAGATCACAGGCCCACCTTCTCTAACCACTGCGCCACCACTCCCCTACTAATTTAATTAATATTTACCGCATTTTACTGGTACTATTTGACTTCTGGTCACATGACCTTGATAAGACTTCTGGGTAATATTTACTGGTAAATAATTTAAAAATAATTTCAGTTATGTAGGTGTTTGGGACTGTTCTGTCCAGTAATCATGTTTAGATAGTTAATGTTCATTTTGAAGGTAAAATGGTTGTAACCATGAGTCAGACAGAAAAGCTACATGATGATCTTGCAGTCTGAACGTGGGTTGAAAGCAAGTATGTTCTGTGAAACTCCATCTGCTGGCTGGTTCTTGTACTGCAATAAGAAAGCTACACACAGCCGGAGCAGACAGGAGCACAGTCCCTGATGATGAATGGTGGATGCCCATGGCTATATAACCGGATTGTCTTATTTATGTACCAAATTTGGATTTATCTTATATTTAACAATTGCTGCTTAGAGACAGGTGCGTTTTAAATCCCGAAAATTACTGTAATTGAATAGCAAGCTGCCATCAGGTCACTTACAATCTATTGTTAGACTGCTGGTCCTCCTTTTGCATGTGAACAACAAGTTTTGGCTGTCATCAGCAAACTGGTTGATCCACCATAAGACAGTTTCTCAGATTGAAGAAGTC